TGTTTTCTGTTTCCCGCGGTGCTAGAAGTGCAGATCTGGACATGGCCCTCCTGTGCCCTGGCTGTACCTACAGCCACATGGCTGGCTTTTCCAGGGGCTCCTCCCAAGTTTTCTGGAGGCTCCTCCTAAGCGTTTCCATCCCGGTCTAACCGCTGCGGGTATCCGGTCGTTCCGCTGGCTGTCATCTCTGCTCCGGCGGATAAGGGGGAGCGTTTAAACTCTGCCACCATAATAGGATTACTCTTTTAAACCCGGAATGATTCTAGCTTCAGAGAGGCGTTTTTGAAATCAGGTTTGGATTCCCACGGCTTTTGATTATTTTGGGAAGCTGGAGAGAGGGCGACAGTGCGATTCCTCCAGCTAATTACAGTCAGGCACACGTGGTGTGGGCTCCGTGCTGGAAGGAGGAGGGCTTTGGCTTTCCCAGGCAGTCTGCAACCAGAGAAAGCCCTCTGCTGTCAGAGAGGGCAGGACCTCCAGGGGTGATTGTGTCCACGGAGCCCAGGGGCTCCCAGAGCATTGGGAATTCCCGGTGAAGCTCTGCTGGGCTGATTTGGCTTCCAGCGGTCTGGCTCGTGTGTGAAAGCAGCTCCCTCCTCCATAGGATCACAGACTGGTTTGGGTTGGAAGGGACCTGAAAGATCATCTAGGGGGGCTTGTTTTTCCTCAGGTGATTTGCTAGGAATCAAGACTTCCTTTACCACAGACAAAATCCTGTCTTCAAGAAGTGCTTTCTCCTTCAGGATGTGTTAGTCTGTTCCCTATTTATTGCTGTGTTTTCCTATGCCCTTTTAATGCATAGAAGGATGGGAGGTGTGAAGGAATGAATTACTGAGACATTTAATCAGCAGGTGGCAAAAGGAAAAGGCAGCCAAAATGTAATGAAATTATCTGTGGGCAAAAGGGTCCTTTTAAGTGGGTGCTAAGCTCTGTAATTGAAGGTGCAAGAGTGCAAAACTTAACATTGGAAGGGAGCCAGAAAATGGATGTACTTAAGGTTGGGCACCGAGGAAAGGAGTTTTACTGCACATTACCAAATTTTATAATGCCTTCCTTGGGTCACTGTTAAGTGTCCAGAATTATTCTTCTTTAATGTGTAAAATAAATGCGTGTTTAATGTGCCAGTATTAAACAGGTCCATGGGAAAGATAAGTCTGCAAAGGACATCTCTGCTTTAGCACTCAATACTTTGCCAAACAATGTTATGTGGAAAACATGGAAAAAGCATCCTTCTTCTGAGGATTTCCCTATAAATAAGCATTCTTGTTCCAAAAATCACCTTCAGATGTCTATTCTGAGCTCATTCATAGACTCCCCCTGCACAACTCAGCTCGCTGCCTGATTAGTGGTTGACTCTGCTACATGAACGTGCCAAGCCTTAAGTGAGAGCACTTGGGGTTTATGAAAATATAGAGCTATTTGGGGGGGAAAAAAAAAATAAAATCTGCAGCACTACAGAAATGGTGATTTAGGACCTGCACTAAAACCTTCAGCTGCTGAGCAGGCTCCTGTGGCCGTAAACATTCTCCCTCATCCAGATGTTTCCCACAGAGGAGCCAAAACGCTGCTGCAAGATGTCACCAGTGTAAAATACCTCTGTCAAAATTTTGTCTCTCAGCTTGTCCCACGTGGAAGGGGAGAAAAAAACCCGAATTGCTTGTCATGGAATGGGCCTTAGAAAGGCCACGATAACACGGTCGGTGTGGAAGCACTGACACAAAACCTTCCTGCAGGCGAATCCAGGGAAGCCCTAAAATGCAGCTGCTTCTGCCACCTTTTCTAACATGGAGGGAAAGGGAAGAAGGGGCTTCCTAGCTGTGTGTCTGACCTTTGGAAAAATGGGATTTAGTGTTGTGCTGAGGTGCCTGTCCTCTCCGATTGTCCTGGCTGCTTTGGATTGCCTCCCTGTACATTCCTAAGCTTTTATCCTCAGGTAGGGGATCATATCTTTTAAGAAGATTGTAGGGAATTAAGTCCCCTGGCTCTGCTCTCCCCTCTTCCAGGCAGCTGACAAATTGGAGTGTGTTCTGTGTGGCAGCCTCTGGAAATAGCTGAAGCCTGCAGAGGGTGAACGGGAATCCATAAAAATGTTCCTCCTGCTTAAGATGACAATTTATAATTTAACTGCGACTCCCACCTTAATGAGGGCAGATTTACACGTGGTGCCATCCTGCTCTGCCTTGCTTTACAGTTGGGTTCTGGGCAGTGGGAACAGTGGGAAAAAGTGTGGGAATAACGCAGGGAAGCTGGTGACATCAAAGAGATCCTCAACACGCTCCTAGAATGTGTCTTAATTAACTAGGACATTTAAAAGTAATTAAAGCCTGTATGGCCTAGGAAATGAAAGATGATGCTCACTAGGGAGATTTGCGTTTTTCCTCTCTGGAAGCTGGGAGCAGAAGTTAGTCAAGGAAGAAATTCAGCTGGGATTGAGATTTACAGGTAAATTAATAGAAGTAGCCCCAAGGAGGGTGGGTAAGTAGGAAAAAATGGAGGGGAAGCAGGCAAGGAAGATGGCCCTGTGGGAAAGGAGAAAACAAGAATATCTAAGACAGAAAACTTTCTCCTAAAATAAAAAGGTACCTGAAAGGTGATTTTTACCTTTTTTTTTTTTTTTTCCCTTTTAAAATCAGAATCCTTATGAAATTTTAAACGCTCCACGTTGCAGAACAATTTTTCTTTGCTTACTCGGCGTGATTACACAAAGCTCTGCAGGAAGATTGTGCTGCAGCTACAATGTCATTAAATAACATTTTCTGTTGGTGGGTTTATTCTCTCCTCCTTCCCGAGAATATTTAATTGTCACTGATGCTAATGGGAATTGTGTGCCTTTGGAGGGCATGCAGATTAATACGGAGATGATTCCCCGGCCAAAGGCAAACACGGGGAAACACACACAGGACAAAAATTAAAAGAAAAACTCTGTAAATAAATATCTGCCTCAGAGCAAGTTCTGTGAAAACTCGTCCCCTTGTATACCCAGCTCTTTCTTGGATCTACTCTGAGGGGAAGTTAAATTACCCAGCGGGGAATGTGTGTTACAGATAAGTTCTGCAAGGCAGCAGAGTTAGAGAAGCAGCGAGCACAAAGTCAGTTGAATGGCAGGCAATTATCTCCCCAATTATAAACCACATTTTTCAACCCACCCCCATAGCACTTTATGGAATTGCAGCTTAGATGGAGGAATCCCACTCCACCTGCTGCTGACCTTGCCCTGGCAGAAAATAACCTCTGACAGAAAGCCCAGGGTGATTCCGAGCTCCCAGCCCATCAACCGACTTGGCCTTCTGTGATGGGAGCAGATCTGTGCATTAACACATCCCATTCCCATTCCCAAACAGATACAGGAGTGCTGTAAAACTGGCCTGTGCTTGGTTAGAGCTGGCTGCAGCAGGACAAACAGCTCTGTCAACCCCAAGTGGCGGATCTGGGTTTATTTGGATATTTGGAGTGTTTTTCTCCCCACCCGGCAGCTGCAGCTGACCGAAATGCAAACACCAGTCTGCTTTCCCTGGGAAGTCTTTAATTCTTCATGAGCAGAAACTAGAGTGTAAATTATATGCAGAATTCATTTCTGCAACTCTATAAATCAGTTTCTAACTGGAGTTTGGGTATTTACATGCCTGACAAAGTGGTTCTCCCCTCTCCTCTCGCAAACTGCACATGGAAAAAGCCCTTTTCACAAACAGAGCAGCTCAGAAATTTGTTTAGAGCTTTCAGGTTTCCAGGTTCTGGGAGGGAATAATCTGGTGCTAGGAGGGGAAATGCAAACCTCAATGAATTTTATAGAAATAGGAAATTTTTGGAAGAACTCTGCTGCCATTTTACTAAATAAGACTGGAAAGGTTTCTGGTTTAGGCCAAAACTTTTCAGGTTCAGCTGCAATTTCCACATGGCTTCCTTTGCCACCCAGGGAATATGAAGGGAATACAAGAGGTGGCTGAGAAAGGGCAGGGATCTGTGAGTGACAGGAAAACAAACCTGGTTGTTTTCTTTTTATTCTTCTATTGTTTTTATCAGAAATCACATAATTTAGCTCTATAAAGGCACTTGGGGCCCAAAGGACCAGGGATGTGAATGTCTGTGAAGGCTTTTAAAAGCCATGATAGAAAGCTGATTAATTTTTAGTTGCTTAAGGACCTACAAGGAGTTTTTATTTTTTTTTCTTTTTACAAACAGATTTACAGTCCTAAAATACTTTGACTGTTTTACTTACCATGTCTCCCTTGTCTGCAAAGCACTAAACAGATCTGGAATTAAAAAAAAAAACTAAAAACCAGAACTGGTGTTCAGATAACTGCAGTGTCACTTGTAATTTGTGTGATGATAAAAGATCTAGAGAGGCGTAATTTGCTATTCTGTAAGGTTTGTGCTAAGAATCCTCAACTCTGATATGATTTAACCTCACTCTGACATAGATCTGTAAAGCAAATGAATATTTTATAATAAGAAGTAGAAGCATTAGGAGATTTTTGGAGGGAGGGGGGAGGAAAATCTGTCTAAGTGCAGCGTTTGAGCGATTTGCATCAGCTGAAATCAGGGCCTTTTAAAGTTCCTCAAACAGAGCAGGGGGAAATTATTATTAATTATTATTAATTAGAGCAAGAGCTTGCATGGAGCTGCCTGTGCGTCCCCACCTCCCACTGCGTGCAGGGAGGCAGAACTTTGGGAAGGCAGGCCCAGAAATGCACGTTGTGCAGTGTAACAAAGAGTGAAGTGTCAGACTTGCCTTGAATTTGTGTTGCCTGCCTGGAGAAGGACGAGAAGGAGGAGGAGGAGGAGGAGGAGGAGGAGGTGGAGGAGATGGAGGAGTTCAGTGGCACTGCCCGTGCTGGTGTAAATCCCACATTGCTGCGTTGCCTTGAGGAGATGCTGAGGCAGGAGAAGCTGAACCAGAGCACTTGAAATACGTGGCAGGGGTTATTGAAGAGCAGATTTTGGCTCAGGAAAAGGGGAAAGGGGATTTGGGGAAAGGAGATTTAAAGAAAAGCGCTCTCTAATACACCATCAGAAGTGTTTATTCTGCGGCAGTGAGAAGAACCGATAATCAGGTGTGTGCACATCAATTATTTAAAACTATTCCAGCAAATACAGCCTTTGACTTCCCCCACCACACCCTCCCACCCCCCCAACAAAAAATACTTTGAGGGATCAAAATTTATTTTGATGCCTTTTGCTTCAACACCAAGTACTTGTTCAGCTGGATTTGCTGTTGTCACATAGGAGGGGAAAGAAAAATTTTTTAAAAAAAAGAGCTCGGGCAAGACAGTGAAGTGTTTCCTTCAGCTCTGTCAAGAGGATGTCTCTTTGTTTTGAAATACTACAGAAATGATAATAAGTCTTATAAAAGTTATCCAGTCACTGGAGCACTGAGCACTGCAGAATCTGTGTCGCTTGCAAATCCTTATTTTTTTGGTAGCTTTTCTGGAAAGGAGAGTGATGGAGGAGTCGAATCAATCCATAGGCAGGTCCACACCTTTGCAGTCACGCTAAAAGGATGAACTGGAAGGACAAAAAGAGACAACAAAGGCAATGTGAGAGATGTTGTCTGATGGAAATTCCTGCCCCACGAACATACACTTAGGTAAAAGAAAAAGCCAAATGGATCTTACTTAACTACAGTACAACTGGACACTTGGCCACTGGTGATTTATGTACCTGTGTTGGACCTGTTTTACACAGCTGTCATGTGCTCCCACACCTTTTGTAAGCGTCAATTTTAACTCATTATAAACAGAATTCACTACTGGTGGAAACAAAGTGGCTGGTTTGGACTTGATGTCTCACTCTAGGGTGGCCCAGCTGAGGGGAAATGAACACCCCGCACCCAATTTGTTCTTGGCTGACCATTCAGGGGCTGAATGTTCCCCCATTTCACTGGCTCAGACTTTAACAGGAATGGGAGGGGAAAGGAGGAGAGGGAAGAGGAGAAAACATTCAGCTCCTGCTTTTGTATTCAGGGCAGGCCCTGCTGCCTCATTATCACATCAGAGAGCCTGGACCCATCAGTGCTTTCACTGCAGGACTATTCCCTCCCCCCAGAGTTTATAATTCCACCGTTTTCATTTGTCTGGGGGGACACTCAGCAGCCTGATCCCCTATCGGAGAGGAAATTTGCTCTATTAGAAAACATTCATGGGCTGTTAATCCCACGACTTTATTTTAGACCTTGAGAGGTCAGTGCATGATTTAGGAGGGCCTGGATTCCATTCTGATTGCTTCGTGCTCAGAGGCGACCTCAGTTATGGGAGTTGGGTTTTGCAAGCTCCAAAGTCCTGCTTTAATCACCAAATATGCTGCCATGGACCCTGATGTCTGTGCCTGGCCTGTAGGGTCAGATCCTCAGTGTGGCAAAGCTCCCTGGAGTCCGTATTTCCAGGGGAATGGGAGCACACTGCATCTGCAGCCCTCCAGCGTGTAAAACTCTTACGGGTTTGCAGCCTGCACCACGTGAAGGACGTGAATCCCGTGCCTTGGGAACAGGAAAGAAGGAGCAGCACTGTCTTTCCCAGCTAGAACCCCCTCGCCATGAATAAATGTTTCATTTTTACGGGGATTGTTTTGCCGGTCTTTAAGAATCCCGACAGTCAGGTGGTCGGGGGATGTGAAAGGCATGAAAGAAATGGAGATCATTTACAGGTGGTTCACAAAGGCTCCTCTGTCATAGGCCAGTCCAGAGACATTCTGTGTCGATGGGTCCCATTGCAAGTGGAAGGAATGAAACTTTGAAATGCTGCTATTTCATCTTTATGACACATAATGAGGTCAATTCAAATGTCAGTTTTCAATGGGACACGAGATCTCTCGGAAACGTGAATGCCCATTCAAACTGAAAACAGTAACAGTGGGGCATAAAAATATCTGGTGTGTTTTAAGGACATGATGCTATCACAGAGCTGAGGGTTGGGAGAGACAGAATTCTTTCCTTTCCAAATGAAAAGCTAAGAAGGAGAACTGATTTTTTTTAGATTTTATGGTCTTGGTCTCATTTCCTTGAAAAGCTCCTGGAACCAATGTCATGTTTACTTAGCTTTTAATCAAGGAGTTAGGAAGTCCTCTGTTAATTAATGATGAGCCAATTCTAATGCATTTTAACAGCTAAAATTCTACCAAGTGTTTGATTTAGATCTTCTTCAGGGAGCAAGCCTTCCTTACCCAAAGCTCCCATCGCACCAAGTGATCTTCGGTGTTATCAGTGCTAAAAGATAAGGGAGCGTGGATTTGTGTGGTACATACAAAGTGTGTAAATGACTCCTCTGCCCAAAAATCCCACACAAAGTTCCTTTCATTTGGCCTTTAATTTGCCCTAGATCATTTTGAAGGGTCCTCCTGGTCAAAATAGAAGAGCAGGTCTGTCTCCTAAGTTGGGAGGTAAGGATCAAATCCATGGGGAGAGGAACTCATAAGGCCTCTGCTGCACCTGAAATTATTTGTGCCTAAGAAAGACAGAGAAGTTTGAAAGTGAAACCTGCTGCATTTTGGGCTGCATAAAGAACATATAGCAAAGTTTTGCCAGGTTTTGCTTTCCTGAGGAAAAGCTTTACAAGGCTAAAATGCCTAAAGGGTCTTTGCTCCCTCCTCTTAAATTTCCCAGCGAGTCTCTGCCCAGACTTGCTGACCTTAGCAGCCCACGGAAAGGGTGTTGCTTCAACAGACTGGGGTTTGTGTTCAAACCCTTAAAAAGGTCCATTCAAGTTATTTTTCTGTGGTAGCTTACAGATTGGGGCCCTAAACGACTCACCCCATCTCTGAAGGCTTCAGGGCATAAACATTGCTCCCCAGACAGAGACCAAATGGCTGACAGCAGGTTATTGGCAGGGCACCGCTTGCATGGCCTGCTTGGAGTTTAAAAGCATTGGAAAACAAAACGTGGGAAAAGCCCAGCGGATGACCAACCTCGGAGTCCAGGAGAGATGTTCCCATCCTTTGCCTCGTGTCCTGACAGACTGCAATTTGTCCTACACACAGTTTCTGGTACTTCCTGGTGGAGAGAGGAACTGGGCTATGCACGAATCCCGGCCTGGGTAAAGGGTAATGCCACGTAGCTCCATGTTATTTCCTGGAAGCTGACGGAAGCGGTCGATGCTGCGAACTGTCAGCACGTGCGTATGAACAGTTGTCGGGTCTGGGGAGGGGGGGGATTTTTTTTTTTTTAAATCATTCTTCAGTGGTTTGTTGTTTTATTTTTGCTAGGAAGAGCGTTGTCCATGAGGTCCGGTACTGACGATCACGAGTGAGTCGGAGAAGCGGGGGTTTGGCGGTGAAGGGAAGGGTCCTGGGCGGGGTGCCCTGGGTGCTACCTGACCTTCTGCAGCTCCTGTCGCAGCCAGGAGGGCAGGGGCTGCCCCAGCCTGTGCAGCAGCTTGGACAGCTCCACGTTGTGGTCTCTGTAGTAGCTCGACAGAAACGCTCGAGACTGAGGAAGTGGGAGGGGGGTAAAAAAAAACCAAAACAGAGCAAGGGTTAAAGGAGGAAAGATTTCAGCTCCTGCTCCTGCATCCCTGCACTGCTCCCAGAGAGGGGCTCTTACAGGGGGCAGTTCATCGCCTCTTCCTGGTGTTTTAAAATATCAAGCCGGTGGAAATAGAACAAATAAATAAAATAAAAATACGGCAGTGTGTCTAGTTTGGGAGCCAAACACAGGCTCTGTATTAAAAGTTGTAAATCTCTGGGAAGCCCTTACCTCTTGGTCCATTGGTGGGTATTTCCGACCTTTGCTTTTTCCCAGGCACTTTGTTTTCCCTCCTTCCAATAACTGGCACCAGAAGCCTTTCTGAGGGTCAAACCTATAGAGGATTAAATATTTTAGAATATATTTAGAATATTCTTCTCACCAGAGAAGAATCTCTCAGCTCCTGAGACATGAGTGTTAGCCCACAATTATCACTGCACACCTCTCTCTAGATGAGTGGAATTCTGAGGTCAGAGTGGGAAACAGCTTTCCTCTCCTGTGAAAACTCTGGGGATTCATTTTTTTTTCCTGCAAATTTGCCTTGGAAGTGGCTCAAGGCAGGGAGTTTGTTCACGCTGTGATTTACCTAGGCTGAGTAGTAGTTTTTATCCTACTTGTCAGCACACAGGGTACAAGTTTGAAGGGTTGATCTGCAGGTCTCCTGAATGAATTACAGGTTGGGTGTTCAGCCTCACCTGAGAAGCTGCTGTTCCCTATCACTAGATCTAAGTACCATTTTCATTCCAAAGATGGCATCAAGCATAAACACTGTCTCAGCAGCCTTATCTGAAGCACACAACTCGATTGTGATGTCTGAAAGCCAGAGGTAGAGGAATTTTAGATTAGGGCTCTAAAACACGCACCCACAAAGGAATGAGCAGCACGTGGCGTGTTAAGTTTGGAATTCACTGCTGTGGGACTTGCAGCACTGCATAAAGCACTGAAATGCTGTGCATTCCTGCTCTTCAGCAGATGTTTGAGAAGCATGGAGTATAATTGGCTGGCACACAGAGTTAATTAGTTACAGAGCACCTTTTTGCCCTGGCTCTGTCTGTGTGACACGGGCGCACCTGCCATTCTCCGCCATGCAGAAGTGAACTAATTTCAGGGTTTTTTCTTTCCTAGCCTATTACTGCAGGCCTGACCTTTGTTTCCTAAATTTGTCTCACTAGCTGTATCAATTAAAAACAAATAAATCATTGATTAAATGGGTGTATTGATGATGGATTCGTTTCTGCTGTGGCCTTTCCCATCTGCTTGTTGCTGGTGAAGTGCTTTGCTGCCTTGCACTGATTTCCCAAGAGGAGCAGCAATACAGTGTGCTGGGTGAAAGGAAGACTGCAAAACTATGCCCCAAACAGTATTTCTGCCTCAGAAGAGGCATACTGAACATTATGAAGAGGATGTGCAAATTTGGGTAGGGGAAAAGAGGGCAAGACAGCTCAGGCTGAATTCAACCCACCGTGTTCAGGTCTCACAAAACTCCCAGGTCTTCTGTAAACGTAATTGGGCACAGTGGAAGCATTTATTTAAAAATAGTGAGAGCCCCGAGGCTAAAGTTACAAGGGAGCTTTTTAAGGCAGTCAGCAGAAACCTTCCCAGGCCTGGTTACCTTCTCTCCCTGCAGAGTAAGCCCGTGGGAGAGGCAGGATTTGGGGATGGGCGGGTGCAGAGGTGAGCAGTGCCGCCGTGAGGAGCTTCCTCTTAGTCTGACTAAATGTAGCAGCACTCCAAGAGAGAACATTTCCCTAAGCACACTCCCCTAATCCTGTATTTTCCTCCAACCCAGCCTCTGTGTGCCCCCTGCTCTCCTTCCACAGCTCTGGTTGGCACCTTCCCTTTTGCCTGGTTTGGTTTCACCCTCCTCTGAGGCTTTCACCTCATTACTCAGGGTGATGGACTTGTTGCTCACTGGTGTTGCAGAACTGGGTCCTCGGGCTGCTTCCTGACAACTTTAAAGATGTGTGGCGTGCACTTGTTAGGCAGTAATGACTAGGAACAATCCTGTGCAATCTTTTTCACATTGACAAGTCCTGCCATAAAACAACTCCGCAGTTTAACGCATTTTTCTCTCCCATCCCCAACCCGTGCGTGCTTCCACAGCACATTTGCATTCTTGATGCCTCCAAACAGTGAGTGCATCATTTTATAGATCTGTTTACAATCCATTTTTCCTGTCCAAACCAGTAGGAGAGGCCAAATTTTTTCTTGCTGTGTGACTCCACTGCCTTTAATTTAGTTCCAGAAAGGAAGATATATGTCTGTGGGTGTGTACTTTAAAACCCTAGCAGAAGGCACTGCAGATGTGCAGCAGCAGTTGTTCAAACATCAGTAGCTCAGCTCTGAGCTCAAACTCCTCCTCTCTTTCATCGGCTTCGGAAGCCAGCGACTTAAAAAATTACATTCTGAAATCCACATTTTTTCCTCTGGAGAAAGGTTTTGGCAGAGGATCTCGTCTTAAAGGGCTGAACTCTCACTCTGTGCCTGTGATATAAATAGCATTGAACGGTGCTTGTGGGCAGAGGGGAGCAGTGTGGGGCAGCTGGAAAGTCCGGGGTCTGCTCAGCCCAGAAACTCCTATGGTTTTCTGCTGGACTAGGAGGGGAGAGGGAAATTCAGCCCGCTCCCACCCCTGCGGGAGCCTCAGCCACGTGTGAAAATGGGATTAGGGAATGAGAGCTGCTAAGCCAGCCTCTGCCATTGGGCTCCTGTCTGAATGGGATAAAAACATGTAAGCTGAACTTGCCCCAGCTGACACAGCCTGCGCTTCAGCTCCTGCAGACAGACAGAACAAAAGCCCAAGCTTTGCAAAATTATCATTGTCATCATGTGTTTGTTTTAACCAATGACCTGGGGATCTGGGTGGGAAGGGATGTACCTCCTGCTCCCCTGGGGCAGGTAAAAAGGGGAGTAGACTCACGTGAGAGCTTCAGAGTAGTTATAATGGGGAGACACTCCAAGGAACTTCTGCACTTCATCCATCACAGTGGCCGGGTCACTCCTCAGCTGCTGTCCATCAATAATGAGCAACTGCAGGGGGAAATGGGGCAGTTGTTTAGAAACAGGACTAAGCTTCACAAACTGCTGGCATTGCTTCCCTCCCGTGACAACCTGGATTTAAGTTAGCCCGTGACTTTGGGCAGTGCTAATAACATTAATATGGATGGACTTCTCTTTAGGTTTACTTTTTACTTGATTGGGTTGAATTTTAAGAAGTTGTTGAACCTTTGTAACTCTGTGTGTGCCCCTTTTTCAAATGCAAGGGTTAAATCTGCCAAGCCAAGCCCCAGTCTCAGAGAATTCTCAGAAAAAGAGGTAAGGAAAGAATGTAAGATATTGCTGAGGTTTACGATGTGTCCGTGGAAGATCTGTCACGGAATACAAAAAATAACAAAGGGTCATATATATACTGTAGAATTAAATGTTCAAAGGTGATATTGTGGCAATCTATTTGAAACTCCCCACCAGCCTATCAACCATGAAGGCTTGCAAAATTGTTGGCAATGGTCTGGGTTTTTTTGGTTTTTAATTAAAGATTGCTGTGATGTAAAGCTGCATTGACCTCCATAAGCAAACAGTAAGACAATACACCCAAAGGCTGCTGGAATACCAAGCAGTATTACTGATAACTATTCTGGGCAGGCTCGGTTTATATTTATTGCAGTGGCTTATTATGAATTATTAAGTTTTTGAGTGCCCAGGAAGGGGGGAATGCATGTTGCTGAGTGCCCATTAGCAGGTACTGGGAGTGCTCTCTGTGTGTGCACCTGATCAGGGAATTTTGTTGTGCGTCTTGTAAAATTAATCACCATAACTGTGAAACACAAGTGGTTTGACAAGAAACGTGTCACTGTGCCCCTGAATGTTTAATAAGAGGGCGTAGTAGGTAGACATGCAGACTGACATATGATCATGTCCCTGGATAAAGAGTGCCCATGGATGCATTTTGCAGTATTAAAATGTTTGCCTTGGGTTGTTTTATTGCTGTTATTATTTTAGCAACGGGAGCATTCTTTAGGTCTCCGTGTTTGGGTAAATTTTCCATGGGAAAGGTTACAAAAGACAATAAGATAAAATACCTGAAGGGAGACGAGGCAAAAGAAGGAATTTCTGCTCTAACCCCAAGAAAAGCCAATTCCATACCAGGACCAAAGATTTTTTTTTCTATGAAAGGGAGTGAGTGGGAAGCAGGAGGAAATTTCTGCTTAGGAAAAGCCCTGGCATTTTCCAAATGAGTTTATCAAAGCTTCCTACAAGGCTGCAGCTGCTGTTTCTGGGGAAGCCAGCAGCCTTGGGAAGCCTGGAGGGGAAGGCAGGGGCGTTACCTGTGAGGCAGGGTAGTGGGACAGCCACCTCTCGATGTGCACAGCGTACCATCCCGGGCTCAGGCACCTCTTCTGCAGAGCCCTGATCTCCGAGGGTGCCCAGGGGCCCGACGTGATCACTTCGTAAAAGTTGAATTTCAGGGCGGCGGGGTCCTCGTGGGAGCGCTGGTGCTGCCGGGAGATATTTGGGGACACGTCACAAGGATGCTGAAGGTTAAGCCTTGAATCTTCCCAGAGCTGTGCTGGCAGCCCTCGGCTCCCCCTCAGTGCCACTTGTGCCAGGTAGGAGTGTGGGGGGGGTTCAAGGCAGCAGGATGGGGCCACCATTCAGTCAGGGTGTTCCCCTGGGAGCTGAGGAGTCAAATCCTGCCAAGGCAGGCACAAATTTTTTTTTCTGCTTCACAGTGGCAGTTGTAAAGGTGCAAATGAGAGAGTAGAAGGGTGCAAATGAGATATTAAAAGGGTGCAGACTGCAGTCCCAGGCCATGTTTTATTGCTTGCAGAACTTTCTAACCACCAGAAGTGGTGTATTTCATGCTTATTGCAACATGATTAATTTGTGTCTGTTCTGGCATTGCTTTTAGTCTTCCCTTTATCTGCAGGCCTACACCATATTTCACGTGGAGGCCTAAACATTTGCCTAAAAGGAGTTTGTTAGGGAGAGGTGTGGGCTCAGTGAAAGGCAAGAAGGAGCATCCTAGAGATCTCACAGGAGAACGACAGGCTTGCTTTTGTCTCCAAAGGGAGGAGAAGCCAACCTCTCCAGGCACAGCTCTTTTGAGAAACTTCAGAAGATGCTGCGCACACGTGTGCACAGCCACTCACTGCTGAGCTCACGGGAGGCAGGGGGAGGTGCCAGCTCCTCAGCATCCAGACCTGTGATTTCCTGGCTGGGCCACGCTCCCCTTCTCCGTGTACCTCCCTGGGGGAGGAGCAGAGCTTTCCCTCCCTGCGCTGGGGCAGTAATTGAGATGAAGCTGTTTGTCTACTGCTGGTGGCAGCTCCGTGCTGGGAACTCTCATCGTTTGTGACACCGGTGTCCCAGGTGCCAACTGCAAGAGCTGGCACTCAGCACCCTCCTGCTTCCACAGGCTGCAGGTGCTTTGCAGGAAATCCCACTCCTTGCTCAAGGACACAGATCCCCACCGATGCTGGCCGTCATCCCCCGCCACCGATCTGTCCGTACCTGGTACCAGGAGTACGCCCGGTCGGATGGGTCGATGAGGATGGTGATGATCTTGGCCTTGGGGATGAGGGAAGCAGCTCTCTTGGGAGCCTCCTCAGAATGGAAATAGTTGGCACTTTTCTCGAAGAGGAGGTCGGTGGTGACGTTGGAGGGAGTGGGGAAGAAATCCATGTACCTGGGAGGGGAGGAGACTCGTTAGAATTCCCAGCAGCACAAAAGGCCGTATCCCTGTGCGTTCCCTTTTCACGGTGGGTGAAAAGGCGGATTTTCAGACATAATCCTGCAGGAGCAAAATTGAATTTCTCAGCTCACTCCAGGCTGGAAGAAGGGGAATGCATCTTGGCTCTTAGGTGGTGCTGGTAATAGCTAAAGCCACCCCGAAGTCAGGTAATTAGGTTTTTCCTTTGACGGATGGGATTTTTGCTAATAAGTTCGATGTCAAAGGGATATCTTTCAACAGTCTGGAGTGAGTTCAGTTTTAGCTGCAGGATAAAAAAAAATGGGAAAAGCTTCAAAATGCCAACCATTTAATTTTAACATTGCTGAAGTACTTCATTTTAGAGCTGACAAATCTTTGCTTTGGGACGCTTCTGGAATGTGAGATTCGAATTTTGGCTTTGAATGGTCTTCTCCATTTCAAATTGATTGGGTGGATTCTCATGGAGGGATGAATCAAACCTTACTTCATGAAAAGCCACTTTTGAAGGAAAAGGGTGTAACTCAGTGCAGATACAGAGCTGCTTTTCAGCGTGGAGACAGAAATCATGCCTGAGCTGGCTCTTGTACGAGAAATCTTGGTGTGAAAACTCAGCAAATTGTTACTGCAGTATCTAAACAAAATTAAGGACTTGATTAAATGTCCCATCATAACCCATTAGACTCTCCCTCTGTCTGATAATGCCAAGCATAACAAATTCATCCAGTAATTATGGTGGTGTCATACATGCTTCTGGAATTGTTCCATTGTCATTTTCTCGTGTATTAATAATGAATTTGTTCTTCTCCTTACCAGTCAATTCCCTTGTGGTAGTTGTTGCCATTGAAGAACTGAACTTCCTCAAAAGTTTTTGGGCTGGGGAGATTACTGATAATGGAAGGATGCATCAGAAGGAATAAATAAAGGGCCGTTGTTCCTGAGGTGACAAAAAGAGATGCCATTAGAAATAGGAGAAAAGAAGCACCTTTGACTTTATTCACTCAGGAAAGTTTCTAAAAGCTCTCATTGTGGGATGACGCTCCTGGGGCTCCCAGAACTGCACTTTTGTCCTCGGGGTGCTTTTCCTGGGGGTCTGTTCTGGGGAGTGAGTTGCCTATCTCAGGGCTCTCCATCCTGTGTGCACTTTAAAATCCCAGGAATGAGGTTTGTCGTGGTGAGTGAAGCCATTTCCCTGCACAATCATTTGTCCCTTTCTGCGGGCGGTGAAGGAGTAACTGCGGAACTGCGGAGGGGTGGGAAGTGGCAGGGAGTTGTCTTCTGTTTGCAGGACACAAACACACAGGTACAAAACTTTGGGTTACAAATCTGTGGGTTCTTACCTGTTTTCTGGGGTCCTATCACCAGGAATTTGGGCAGGTGGTCACAAGTCTTGTCTCTGGACCAAATGTCCCTGTGTCGTTTGTCGTCACACGGGTTCTGAGGGAGGAAAGGTGTTTGGGTCCATCACGCTTAACTAAATTTTGTGCATGAACAGTCTTTGCAGGATTTAAATGTCATGCACTAATGCACAGCATTAGTTACACTGAGGAGTAAAACCCCACAATGTGTGTATAATGGTTTTGCATGACTGAGGACTAATTTTGGTCATTAGGAGAAAGGAGAAGGAAAAGAAGGAGGTGAAAAATAAAAAAGATTAAAACTTTGATTTAATCAAGTTTTCTTTCGAGGTTAAAGAGGAAACCTCTGAAGGCATTATTTTCTAGGGTGTCAAGATGGTTTTGATTTACATGAGGATGCAAAAAGGAAGGACGAAATAGAAATGTGAGATATTATTCATCTCCTCTTTCTACTGCCTATGAAGGCAAAACAAAAACCCTGAAGGAAAGGCCCCTTTTAACATGAAGAAATCCTTATTGCAGGAGGTAGATTGCGATTGGAGGAGGGAGAGGATGCGGCATTACCTGCCAGAGGGGGTCTGTCTGCTCTGGGAAGAGCTGGAAGTACTTGTGGGCCAGCTGGAGCGGGGGCAGCGTCTGCAGGTTGAGGTTGGTGGAGCTCTTGACGAAGCTGGCGAGGTTGGCAAAGGTGTAGAGGCCCAGGCGGTCGTTGCCGTAGTTGGACAGGTGGGTCATGAAGATGCTGATCTGGGAGGCAAGAGGGAGCTTCCAGTCACGGGACTCCTCCCCAGACCCTCGCCCCCCACCCAAACCCCAAAGAAGAGAGTGGAGAAGTTCAACTAGTCACGCTTCTTCTCCTCCTTACTTCACTGTTTTTCCCGGCACATCGGCCTGGGATAGGATGGAATGGCAGTGGAATCTGATTCCGGCTGCAGGCAGGGGTGGGGGAATGAGCCAAGAGTATTTTGGGGTCTGAGGCCACCAGATTCACAGGTGAATGGCTTGCCTTGCAGAGAGATATCTGTGTCCAGGTGAGCCCTGGTTTGGATGATTAGGAATGGGAAGTGTGAGCTTATAAAGGGGTGTGCAGGCAGAAGGGAAGAGACTGCAGGGGAGTGTGTGCCCCTTCCTCTTGGAAAGCTGCGGCAGGAGACACGTCCAGGTCAGTGAGTTGTGGTTTCTTTTCCTCTCTAATGTCTTGAGCGGCAGCTGGATGTAGTTTGGGGGAGTCCTTGGGGTGTCAAGGTGTGTGTTGTTGTTGCTGAGGGTAGTTTATGGCTGGAAACCAGGTGGGCTGTCCTGGCACCCTGGTCCTCGAGTCGGAGGTCTGGAAACACGCGTCTCAGCTGGGAGGCACCCAGGTTCCCCAGCAGCTAAACTGGTGGGAAGTGCTGAGTCTCAAAATTTGGGACCTTCATGCCTCAAATATCTGCAGAATGCCCATGTGTGTCTCAGGAAGGTTGTAATCACTGATCCACCTGGAGATGAAGTTTTCCCTTAGTTTTTTTTTTTTTGTGGTCCCAAGCTTGTCCAGAGCACACTGTGCTCTCCTGACTCTCAAAATCCCCGTGGGATAAAAAGCCACAAGCTTCCCACTCTCCCCATCTCGCTCTGCCAAGGTGGTGCTGCTCTGAACAACAGCCCACAAGGTTTTAAACCACGTCCATTAGTTTGTTAAATTATTAACAAGGCTTTTAGTACTTCTAGAAGGTGGAGACAGATGGAGCTGAGAGGAGTGTCCCTCATGGCCCCTCTGCAGGGGGTTTGCACTGTGCACACTTTATTCCTCTGAAAGTAATTTATCCTTCACTTTTATTCTGCTTTGAGCCAAGATTGGCAACTGTACAAGTTCTTTTTGCTGTTGGCTCGACTTGGTGGATTCAGGAACCCGTGCATTTTATGACCAAAAGTATTTGCCACAGAGTGAACGTTAAAATTACTCTAACCTTGGTGCATGTTTCTGTGTAGTACCCCAGAAACTTATAGGGAAGGTAATGAATCATCTTCTTCTCCCCCAGAAAACCCAACACAAAGATATCCTGCCTAGTTTAGAGTTCAGCTCCTCAAAAGGTGGCAAGTGCTTCCTGCAAACTAAGTGATGAAAACACTTGCAGGAAATGTTAATGGAGGATATAATCCTGGCTCTGAAGTGGTTTCTGATGACTGCTAACAGGTCTGCCAATGACATTTAATATTATTGCAGCAAATGAAGTTCTGCAAGTAAATCTTGTGCTTTGTTTACCCTTGAAAATGGAGGAGACTTTCTTTTAATGTTAAAGGTACTTTCACTGGGTTGCAAACCCATTTAAAAGATCCAATTGATCAGTTTTTATGGAGTCAAAAGATCTTGGACATCTCTCCTGACTTCTCTTGCTCTGTTGATCTTTTTTTGAAGTGAGAAACCCCCAAACCTGATGCATTATTCATGGGATAAAACCATGCCTAATTCTTTGCTATCTACCTCCAAATCACTTGAGGCAAAGGAGAGGGGCTTTTACTGTGCATGTTTACAGCATGGATGGGCACCAGAGTCTGTTTCCATGCACATGCATCAATCCATGGAAAATGCAGTAGTCTGGGGCTGGTGCTGGGGGTTACGTGGATCTGAATGGAGACCTGTGGCCCTCAGACCATGGAAATTTGGATTTTTGCTGCTGTAATGAGCTTTTGCCTGCTGTTTTCTGCTGCCTGCTCTGTGCTAATGTTTCAGAGGTGCCCACAGTGGTCTGCAATAGCTGTGCTCTCAAGAAAGAGGTGAGAGGAGAGCACAGGTCCTAAATTTCCGAGAGCACCTGTGAAGTTAATATGCCATTCTGGCTGCTAAATCATATTATTTCCACTAGGCTGCGTGGGTAGAGGGAAAGAAATGTATTTTACAGAAACCACATTCTGCACTGGGCTATTTACCAGCTCTTCTGCTCCTAAACCATAATATTTGGTGAGTGACTGATTGACAAACTGGAGCTGGTCCCACCTATGATATGAGATTAATTTACAAACAATGGCAGCAGCACCACACTGTTCCACTATCTGGTTCTTGTTTCCAGGGCTTTTGAAAATCAGTTCTGTGCAGAAATTATACATCTGTAGTGTATTCTTTACTTGTAATGTTTGCATATTTGTGCTTGTGTTATGTATAAAGTGAAATGTAGATTAGGTAGCAGAGAAAAACAAAGGGCTTGTTTCAGAATTATCAGGATATAAACCACGCTGGATCTGCTTAAAGTGCCCTGAAACTGCATTCTGTGCTCAGACTTGATGCACAGCTATTAATGCAGAGTGTACAGGTTTATTTCCTCCTGTAATTGCCAAACTCAGTGTAGGCTTGGCTAAAAGCACTTAGTTTTGGACAAAGATTACCCACCTGCCTCTGGAGGGCACTAGGATGTCAGGCTACTTTAAGATTGGAGAACATGTTTAGTTTTTTGGGGAGGTTCATCCAGGAGAACTGCCAACTGCTGTAGGTCCTGGAGTGTGGGCAGAGCTTTAAAGAGGAGTTTGCAGGAAGTGTTGAACTCAGTGGGGTTTTCAAACTGACCCACCCCTGTTAGTGCTGCAGCTTCCAGCTGAAGTGCCACCCCATCTCAAGGATGGCAGTCCCACATGGGGAATAAAACACTGGCTGATTTCTTTGTGTTGCTGCTTGAAACTCTTCTTATCCATCGATCGAGCCCTTGCCATGAAAAAATCAACTACAAAGCTTCTGTGTAAATGTGCTCCAGCTCATTCTCTCAGCCATTCCGTCATTATATGGGATCAGTGTTCTCTTGTAGGTCCTTTCCTCCTGCTCATCCTTTGGCCCTGACCCATTGCCAGCGACGGGGCTCATGTGGGAATCCTGCTCCCCTGAGAGCAGCTTGTTGCTCCCTGTCCTTAACAACTCTTCCCCTTGCTCTTGCACCTCTTCAGCGAGGGTTTCAAGGGAGGGAGGGCTCAGTGCCAGGCTGGGCATGGACATGCCTCCTTCTCTGGGGAGCGTTTCCAACATTTCCCAGCCTCCCGTCGTGGATGACAGAGTTTGTACTTGCTGAATCCCGGGGCGCTCAGCTCCTCAAGGCAGCGGTTTGTGCGGCAGCGCTCGGGGGAAGCCGGGAGGGGGAGTTTTGTGTTGACAAAGCACTAATTTTAATAATGACAAATCGTATCTCTGGAATTCGGCGCCATTCATATTCACGACCCTTATCTGCTGCTGAAGCAAAATCGTTTATACGCCTGAAAATCACCGCCTGGGTTGGTTTTTTGTTTGTTTGTTTGTTTGCTTGATTGTTTGTTTGTTTTTACTTTTACTCTATTTCCTCCCTGCACATCTTTTTACGTTTTAACGTTCTTGACAGGATAATCAAATATTTTCTGAACATGATATCTCTAAAGAAAGCAACAAAAGGCAGTGTTTGGAAAGAAACACTTTTGCCTTTCACTGAAGGGGAAACAAAGCAGCTGAACGATGTTTTATTTCCCGTGCCCGTATTCATTACCGGGTCTGTTTTCCAGCCCAAGTGTTCCCAGGGATGGGAGGGGAAGCTGCTGTCCATCAGTGGTGGGATGTGGCCTTGGGACAGCTGTCCAAAAGAGCATCTATGTTGTTTTAAAATTCCCTATTCAAAGAGCAGAATTGTTTCTCTTTTACCCGTGAACGCTTTCTACTTTTCCATTATTTAGGTGCCGTGATTTAAATGAATTCTTTATTACTGACAGAAAAATGCTGCGCCTCGTCCCTTTCCTTGTGAGAATAAAGCTGCTGGGTTTGCTTTTTTATTTTTCATTTTCTAAGATTTATCCAAGTCCTGCTTCTAAAATCGAGCCCAAATCGTGACCACATTCCAACACAGCAGCTGTTCCCCAGGCTGTACACATTTCTGACACCATGGATGTGTGGGGTCCAAGATGAGGAAGTTCCAATCCATCAGTTCTATCTGTTAGTTATATATTTATATTTTTAAAAGCCTGCAATTAAATAAAATTTTTTTTGTTTGTTTTTGTTTGTTTTTTACTGTGAGGGCGTGTGAAAGAACAACTGCTGCTGTGGATGATTTGATGCAGTCGGTGCGTGGCTGTGTTAGGGTGGGAAACCTAAATGGATATTTTTTATGTCTGTTCATTTGTCACCCTTGTACAAGTGATCAGCAGCACAGCTCATTGTGGCCAAAGCTGAATGAATTCTGCCCAAATGTGGTGCTGCCACTCCCATCCGTGAGCCCCAGCAAGTCTACAGCAATTCAATCCTCTTGTTATAAGCAGGTATTTCCATTTTTTAGTGAAATTCATGATATAGGAATTTGTTTTCTTGTTGAAAAGACTTCCTTAGACTATAAACCCCCTCAGAAGAAACAAATCTTTTCGGTTCAGACTCAAGAATAAACCCAAGTTCAAATTAAAGAAGTAGAGCAGAATAAATTGGTGTTGGGTACTGTTGGCTTAAGTCACGCTCAAAGACCCAGATTAAATTACTATCAAGAACCAGGGCTATAGAGAAAAGGGGACATCCAGGCAGAAAAAAATGATCAAAATTATTCTTAGTGGTTGATGTGGTTAAATAAGGTCTGGTTCTAACTGTGCTTGGGGTGATGGGATGGGTTATGTCTGTTATCCTTGACGTGGCACTTCGTAGTCGCCAGGCAGAGCAAGAAAAAGTCTCTCAGATGATCCTTTTGATACTGGGCATTCTTATAAACTCTAAGGAAGAGTTTGCACCAGGCTGTTTACTTTAGAACTGCAAGGAAATGCCAGGCAGGTTGATATAGATTGGA